GGGAAGGTTTGCTGGATCCACGCTGCAGAGGAACTGCGGAGTTGATGCAGGTGCTGGGTTCGGGTCCCGAGAGGGACGGCGTCTTTGCCACACTAGAACATGTGCAATTGTGTGTGTGTAAGTCTGCAGAAGGCGGACTCTCTGCGGAAAGGAATTCTCCCGCTAGGACGCCCAGCCAAGAAGGAGCAGCGGGCGGTCACCGTTCTTTCTGCTCCTTCTCTCTCTCTCTCTCTGTGCCTTCCTTCGTTTCCTGTCTTTCTCTCCTTCCTTCCTTTCTCTTCCCCTCCTTCTTTCCCTCCTCTTCTTCCTCCTTTCTTCACTCCTCTTTTTCTATCTTGCTTGCTTGCTTTCTTCTTTCCCCTGCCCTGCTTCCTCTCTCACCCTTTTCTTCCCTTCCCTTCCCTTCCTCCCTCCTCCCCTTCTGCCCTTCCTCCCTCCCTCCCTCCTCCCCTTCTGCCCTTCCTCCCTCCCTCCCTCCTCCCCTTCTGCCCTTCCTCCCTCCCTCCCTCCTCCCCTTCTGCCCTTCCTCCCTCCCTCCCTCCTCCCCTTCTGCCCTTCCTCCCTCCCTCCCTCCTCCCCTTCTGCCCTTCCTCCCTCCCTCCCTCCTCCCCTTCTGCCCTTCCTCCCTCCCTCCCTCCTCCCCTTCTGCCCTTCCTCCCTCCCTCCCTCCTCCCCTTCTGCCCTTCCTCCCTCCCTCCCTCCTCCCCTTCTGCCCTTCCTCCCTCCCTCCCTCCTCCCCTTCTGCCCTTCCTCCCTCCCTCCCTCCTCCCCTTCTGCCCTTCCTCCCTCCCTCCCTCCTCCCCTTCTGCCCTTCCTCCCTCCCTCCCTCCTCCCCTTCTGCCCTTCCTCCCTCCCTCCCTCCTCCCCTTCTGCCCTTCCTCTCTCCCTCCCTGTCTCTCTCTCTCTCTCTTGATTTCCTTCTTTCTGCCACAGGGCCTGTGCACTCCCGCCGAGAGGGAGGAAGAGAAAGAGGGGGAGAGAGGACGCACTCCCCATGGCACCCAGTCACGCCTCTGTCTCTTTCCTCCCGTTGTCCACACCACTAGGATTTGGGGGCATTCACACACATACATATGCACAAGGACACACACACATGAACACACACATATGCACACACATATGCACAAGCACACACACATGTACAGGCACACACATGCACACACATGCACAGAGCCACATATATACGCACACACATATGTACAACCACACACATGTACATACACAGACACACATATATGCACAGAGACACACATATATGCACACACATATGCACAAGCACACACATGCACAAACACGCATATATACGCACACACATATGCACACATACACAGACACACACACATATACCCCCATGGCAGAATAAATGAATTCAAGAATCACCAATGTTTTGTTCATGAATTTCTTGTCTACACACTGTAACTCATTTCTTTTTAAGAAATTATTTATTTTATTTTACTTATTATGATTATTAGTATTTTTTTAAAGAGATATTTTTGCTATAGGGTACAAGCGCTCGCCAGAGAGACAGAGATGGAAAGTGACAAGTACCCCCACGGGGATGACCACGCCACAATCCCTTTTCCTACATTCTCCTCTCGGGATTCTGGGCACGCACGCACACGCACCTGGTGTGAGTTTAGAGTCGCCGGGTCTGCGATTTGACTACGTGGGAGTCCAGCAATGGAACCATTATGCCATCGCTGGTCCCAATTATTAACAGTTTCTAATTTGCTATAGGGCATGCACACTCATGAGAGAGACAGAGAGAGAGAGAGAGAGAGAGAGAGAGAGAGAGAGAGAGAGAGAGAGAGAGAGAGAGGAAAAGTGAGAAAGCAAGTCGCCAGGTCTGGGACTCAAACCGAGGTTGACCATGTGGGAGTCCAGCCCCTTACCCTCCACGCCACCTGCTGGCCCCACTGTGAGTGTTTCTTACTTGGCATATTTCTTGACCAGGCTGAACCTCTCCCATTCATCCACCTGTTCATTCACTCATTCCTTCAGCAAGCGCGGGCTAGCGCCCAGGTCTTCAGGAGCCACTGTGATGTTATTACAAGGACGATGATGGTCCATCGAGAGTGGGAAGGGCCAGATTAGCAAATGGGCCGGTGTGGAAGGGATTTATAGAGTGTAAGGAACACCTATGTGGACAAGCGTGTCCAGAAAGTACCATTCCATGACAAGAAAGCTGGGATCGCCTACCAGTTCTTTTTTATTTTTTTCAAAGAGAGGTTTTTGCTATAGGGTGCATGTGCTTGCCAGAGAGACAGAGAGACAGAAAGTGAGACATCACCTCCCAGGGGGGATGGCCACATCGCAATCCCTTCTCCTCCATTCTCCTCCTGGGATCTTGGGCATGCACGCACACGCGCCGGCGTGAGTTTCAAGTGGCTGGGTCCAGGACTCAAACCGTGATTGGCCATGTGGGAATCCAGTGCCTTAACCACTACACCATCTGCTGGCCCTCACCCCCAGTTGTAGCCGAGCCCATAGTGGGCTCAGAGGTGCATGGCAGGTCACGCACCACAGAGAGAGCATGTCACAGTTGGCGTGGAGCCTGAGTGCAACCCTTTCTGGTTTAGTGATGGGCTGGGAGTGGAGTCAGGGAAGAGCTGGAAGAGGAAGCTGGCGGCAGGGGCTGGACCTCACAGAGACTCCTGGTCGATCCTGCAGACAGAGAGAGCGAGAGCGAAGGGGATGTGGAATCCAATGATTCCTCAGAGTCTGCATCTCTGCACTTGCAATCTCATGAACCCTAAGGTCATCTTCAAACAGAGGCAAGGTGGCATACTGGCTAAGGTGCTGGACTCCCACATGTGTGACTGCAGTTTGAGTCCCAGACCCTGCAGCTTGAAACTCACGCCAGGCGCGTGTGCGTGCGTGCCCAAGATCCCGAGAAGAGAAGGGAGGAGAAGGGATTGCAGCATGACCATCCGCTGCGGGAGGTGATTTCTCGCTTTCTGTCTCTCCAGCGAGCACATGCGCCGGGCGTGAGTTTAAGTCACCAGGTCTGGGATTCAAAACGTGGTCTACTACATGGGAGTCCAGAGACATAGCCACTTCGCTAACTGCTGGTCCCTCTTCCTTCCTCCTCTCTTTTTCTCCCCTTTTCCCTCGCTCTGTCCTTCCCCTTTCCCTGCCCTTTTTCCTCTCTAACCTTTTCCTCCTTCCTCCCTCTTTCCTCTCTAGCCCCCCTCCCTTCGTTTTTTTCATCAGAGAGAGAGAGAGAGTGAGAGAGAGAGAGAGAGAGAGGTGTCCCCATAGGCTCTTGGCACATGGACCCACGCCCAACGTTAACCAAGGGGAAGCCCAGGCAGGGCCACGGGCTCGCCCTGCTGTCCTGGGAGGTCCCGGGGCTGTCTGGAGTCAGGTCTGCAGGTCTGCATGACCCGGTGGCACGAGGCCACACCTGGGTCTGCTCCCAAGCTGTCCTCTGGGCCCAGGTTGGCTCGCAGGCCGACTAGCCTCCCCAGCCCCCTGCCCACGGTTCTCAGATCTGAATTCCTGCAGACAGCCAGGTCTGAATTCCTGCAGACAGCCACTCCTCCTGCCCTGCCCCACGCCTCCCCAGCACGGTGTGCAGCCTGTCGCCTGGTCTGTCCGCAGCTAGCAGCAGCAGGCTCCCCAGATCCCTCGTCCTGGCGCAGCCCCCGCGGGCTCGGCGTGCTCCCAGAGCGAGGTTCCACCTTTCTGGCAGGGCAGCGCGCGGGAGGCCGGCGGCCAGGAGCCCTGCAGAGGCGGGAGGGCGTGGGGGCGGCTCTCACGTTGCAGGCCCGGCCGC